ACATACCTCAAGCACGTGTGCTCCCTCGTGCGTGTATCTGTCTATGAGAGAAACTTGAAACAATTACAACAATGAGCAAACAAATAAAAACTCTGTTTGCAACGGAAGTTCAAATGAGTTCAAACATGAATCCATTAAGCGCGCTGCAGGACATATGTCCGCATATTCAGATGTCTTGTAAAAATCACAAGTACGTGCATACATACATATGTATACATATATTTAATGAAGGAAACAACAACACCAGCTGCTGCTCAGAGAAGCTAATCATAAGTATAAGAGCTTGAATAGCTGTTCGATTTGATCGTTTATTAGGCTGCTGTTATGCCATCACTAAGCCAACAACAACAACAACAACTGTTTGCTGTACGAGCGTTGCCAGCTTAATCAGAAATCGCTTTTCAATATGTTCGCCTTCTTTGGCGAAAACTGCTCACAGGACTGGCGCTGTTAGTCCTAACAGAAATATAAGAGCTTAAAATGCGCCTATAGGCATAGTATACTTTCGATGTCTTATATTGCCATTGCTGTCGCTAATGCAACAGGAATAGCATATTATACTCGAAAGAAGAGATTCAATGTGAGCTAATTAAGATGTCTTATATTATCAATGCAATTGTTATCACTACTAAATAAAGCTCTAGCTCTTATATACAATAATTTTATAGCTGGCTCGCATATTTATGATGTCAAAAGAAGCTAATTGGATATAATTCTATACGCAAAAACTCGAAGAATTTTTTAATTTTTGTGTTATTCAGATATTGAAATTGAATTTATGTCTTGCGATTCAATAAGAAATTTAATAATGTAAATTGATACTTGTTGGCCTTTGGTGTTTATCTGGAATAGTCAAGTGTGCTGTTATACATTTGCATATGAGAAGTACAGCGTATTACAGTTGTTCTAATAATGTTCAACAATAGCAGTGAAATTCAGTCAAAAGGGAAATATACAAAATATATGAATATCTAGTCAATAAAATAAAGAACACTTTTAGGCCAAATGCATTCTTGCTGTGAGTTTTCGCACACAGACACACACACAGACACACACACACACACACACACACACAGTGCATATTTATTATGTAGGTCAGATTCTGATCAGAAACTGTTCTATTTCACTTTTAACGGAGCTCTGCGCGACCTAGAAGACATTTGTGAATCAAATAAATAATCCAAGACAGAGCTGGGCGGGTGCATAAATTATTTGACACACACACACACTCGCGTAATATGTATACAAGAAGATGAAGAAGAAGAAAAGCAACTAAATGTGAAAGAAAATGAAAATCTGCTAAAACGGAAGACAACCAGCGCATAGCACTAAGCGGGGCAGGTGGGGCAGGGCCGGCAGGTGGGGGACTGATGTTTTAGCATTGTGATGGAACAATAAAACAAACATAAAATGCAAATGGTTTTTTTTTTTTTTTGTTTGCTTTGTTTTGTTTTTTGTCTGTTAGCTTTGCCCCTGTCCGTTAAAATAAAATAAAAATAAAAATTAAGCCGTGAGATTTTTCTTGCCAGCACCTCACACAATGGCCAAAAGCAGCAGCAGCAGCAGCAGTAGCAGTGGTGGCAGTGGTGCCAGTGGTGGCACTGGCAGAAGATTTGTTTGACCCATTTAATGGCATGACATGTGCACAAAGCTGCGACGACGCCAGCGATCAAATGCAAATGCTTTTAGCTGTGGCATTGCTATTGCTATTGCTATTGCCGCGGCTCGGCTACTGCCCAGGCAGAGGCCATGTCAAAATAGATGTGTATGTGTGTGTGTGTGTGTGTGTGTGTGTGTGTGTGAGTATATATACAATCCACAACTGTTGGCTAATTGTTGTGACCTCCTAATTTACTCAAGAAGAACTGAAGAACTGTTTCGTGGGCAGAGCAGCAGCTGCTTGCTTAATGGCCGCTAAGCTGCTTGGCTGGGCAAGCGCGAACGCGAACTGTTCTAACGATGCGCGCGTAATTATGTCTAACAGTTTACATTTTTGACTAGCTGCTGCCGACGTCGCTGCTGACGTCGGTGTGCTGTAATAACCGTTACATTTAATGATGCACACCACCAAAGAAGGCAATTGCACAACACTGGAGCTGGAGCTGGAGCTGGAGCTGGCGATTTCTGTGGCAGTGACGACGTCAGTCTAATCAGAAATATCAAAGCGCGAATCACTTTCGCAGAAATGAAAGTTAGCCAATCAAATCGATGCGCAGCAGAAATTAATCGCACACACGAAAATAGATAACACCACTAGCACCACCAGCACCAGCACCAGCAGCAGCGGCAGCGGCAGCGGCAGCGGCAGCGGCAGCGGCAATGAAAGCATTTAAAATTATGATTAATTAATTAATTGTCGTCTCACCTGTTCGTCGATGGGACAGCCACGGGCGTCGAGCAGCTGCTGCGTCGACTCACCCAGGCCATCCAGAGCAGCGCAGTCGACGACGCGCACTCCAATTGTGCCCGGCACAATCGCGCGCACCGTCAGGGTGGTGGCCATGCCCACCTCAACGGAGCCCGAGCCATTGGGACCGCCCAGCTCCAGCCAGATGCGCACGCGCGGCGTGTCCATGAGATGTGTCTGGGCTGCGGCCGCCGATGCAGCTACGGCCAGGGCGCGCATCCGTGCATTGCTGCAAGAGAGGAGGAGAGCAGGAGACGGGGATGAGCAGTTGGGAAATTGATTTCCAAATGAGTTGCGCCCTTCCGCCCGCTTACCGATCTCGGCCGTGCAGCGGCAGCGGCATTCCCATCGCCTTCGCCGGCAGTTGGCAGCGCACGGTGCGCAGGATGTCCGTGCTCTGGCGTAGCTTCTGCTCCGTCTGGAGCATGATCCGCACGGTGTACTCCATGCCGCCGTCGGGCAGCGGCTCGGCGCGCACACCACAGCCCGAGGTGGGCAGCCGCAGGGCGATGTGCGTGGCATCCTGGCCGCGTGACCGGCACTCCAGGGGGAAGTCCTTGGCGTAGAGCAGGCCACGGAATGCCCGGCTTAGTGTGAGTTGCATCTCCAGCAGCTCACGCGTGCAATTCACCTGCAGTGTCTGGATTTGCATAGATGTGAGGGTGGGGGAAGGGGCGGCGGGGGCGGGGGCGGAGGCGGCATCAGCTGAAGTGGCGACTGCAGCAGCGACAGGTGTTGCGACTGCCAAGAGAAACACGCCCAGTGCAATTGCCGTTCTGGTTGCCCAACCAGCATGACACACTAAATGCACTTGTCGATGCATCTGCCAGATAAGAGAGGAAAGCAACTGTGGCTTCAGTTGCGGCTTCAGCTGCGACTGCGGCTGCGGCTGCGGCTGTGGCTGTGGCTGTGGCTCTGCTTCTAGCTGGCGACGCCGCAAGAACATGTTTCCGATTTTCCAATTTCCCGTTGCGCCCGACGCGGGCAACTGCAACCGCAAATGATGCCACTTGGTCGCGTTGCCGTTGGCCAAACAGACAACACCTGTAGTTGCACCTGCCGGCTGATAGTTGATATTTGTCGACTGCTGGCTGCTTGCAGCTAGTCGCCTCTTCTTCTAATTGGCCCCGTCGCGAGAATCGAGTCCACCGACCTGGCGATCAGGCCTGAGCAACTGAAAATGAAAATTCCTATGCATTACTAAGACAGCAGACGGCAGCAAATTAAGGCCAACACACACATACACGCACACACGCGCACACACGCACACACACGATGCGAGTGCAGAGAGATGCTCAACTGTGGCCAATTGGCCAATTCGTAAGTGGGTCAAGTTTGCATTCAAATCAAATCAAATCAAATCAAAACTAAACAAAACAGCACAAAACAAATCAAATAATATGTCCAGCGATTGCAGCAGCCACTAAATAAATACGTTAAAATAGCCAAATAAAAGCTTAAATCAACATCAACATCAAACTTTGCGTAATCCTATTTGATTTTAGTTGTTCATCTTGCTCTTTATTGCCCTTGTTGTTGTTGTTGTTGTTGTTGTTGCTCTTGCTTTGTTTACTTATTTATTTGCTGTGCCATATTATGCCATGTTGCCCCTGTTGCTGCGGCTTGTAATCCTCACAATTAACTAGCCAGTTTGGAAAGTAAAATAAAAAAATGCATATTTTTGGTAAAAGGTCTACAAGCCCTTCGCTTTACCTTGACTAACACAGTAAGCACAGCACAGAGAATTAAATGCCGAATATGCGTTCTGCATATCCTTTTTGTAGTCACTTTACACTTTTACACACCAAAATTTCCAAATATATTTTTTGAATATGTCTGGTCAAAGCATTTAAAGCAAAATATCAAAATTTATAGAAATATACATGTATGTACAAATTTTATGCTTACACAATATCGCGCCAATTACAAAATTTCTGTATGAGCACTGCACAAAAACCGCAAGTTTAAAAAAATAAAATTAAAAAAACATTTTGTTAACGGTAAACAACGCGTGTGTTCGCGCTTCACACAACGAAAACAAAACAAAATACACGGCTGACAGCGGCAACAACTACTAAGCTGTGGCACAAACGCACGCTACCAAGTGTGCAAATCAAATAAGCCCCGAGCGCCAACGAAATGCAGCGTATGTGTTAAATTGGGAAACCAAGAAGTTGGCTAACCGCAAAGTGAAGATAAAGCTGTGAAGAAGAAGCAGTGGTAACCGCCGTCGGTACGCAAGCGCAATGGTTAAGGCGCCAAAGAGGCATATCGATTGTTAAATGCTTAGGGCTGCCAGCTCGCGAAAGAAATATTTGAAAAAGTTACAAATATATCGATATAACCGGTGTCTAAGAAAAATTTTTCAGATTTGATTAGTGCTATAAGTAGATATATAATATTATAATATTATTATATATAATAATTAAAATGTGGGCAATTTAAATGTTATAAACGAAATGTTTTCTTTTAGGTTTTTGGCTTTTTCAACTAATCAAAATGAACCAGCATTTATTGTTATACGATAGCAGCTGACAAGTATCGCATACACACCAATCTGCCGGCCTCCACAACTCATCGACAGATGTCACACCAGCATTTTTTCATCACTAATCACTAATGCCACACGATAAATACAAGCGAAGCGGCTAAATAAGTTAGACAGAAAAAAAAAAAAAAACAAAAAAAAAATTGTCAAAATAAATAGTTGTAATAAAAATCCGATGAACCTAAACATCGATGTGTCAGAAATTATTGAGCTCGTAATGCCAATAAAATCTGAGTACTCGGAACAGAATGACGGCGGTGGCTGCGACGACGACGATGTTGATGCCGACGGTAATCACTATGTGGTTTTGGATTCCGTGGATGTGGGAAGAGATTTCAAAAACGAGGAATTTCTTTTGGTTAATGATGATGGCACGGGGAACCAATTGCTACTTGACAATGCGCACCTGCATCAACAGCTGGTCAATTGTGCGGATCTCCTGCGCGAGCCAAGAGATGACCAATTCGAAAATGTACAGTATATGGGAGAGGAGCAATTGCCAGAGGATGTGGATGATCTGGTTGAAGAAGATGAGGAGGAAGTTGATGGGCAACTGCCAGTGGAAGAGCAGTTGGAACAGTATGAGCAATACGAGGACGACGTGCACATACAGGATCAGCAGAACTTCGGTTGGAACTACGTGCAGACCCCCTCACCAATATCGGAATCTGTGGCAATGAAGCTGGAGTCGATGACGACGACGACGACGAATACAACGACGACGAAGTCCACCACAACAACGACAACGGCACTGTCCCCACCTCCAAGCCGCAGTAAATCGAAGTCAAGTCCACATAGCTCCGCGCGAAGTCATGTGGACCATGTGGCTATCGATGCCTCCTTCGAGGAGATAACACATGTAGCCGATGAACAGCAAGTCGAGGAGCCTGCACCATTGGCAAAGCCTAGTGAAAAGATGCTGGATCAGTTCAAGGGACCCCGACGGTATATGCTGTTCGACGAGCTTGTTGCCACCATTGTGGACTTCGACGAGGATGGCACGCCCATTGTGGAGTTCTCGATGATTGGCAGCGCGCTCGACGAGAAGCTGCCGGTGGAGTGCGGAATCTGTCCCGACGTCATGCACAAATCCAAGCTCTCCAAGCATCAGAAGACGCACATGGTGCCTGGTACCAATCGCTACGCCTGCATCTACTGTACCGAGACCTATCGCGATTGCAAGTACTTGGCTGGCCATGCCCGACGCCACATGGGCATCCGACCGTACGTGTGCGAGCCATGCAAGCTGTATTTCTCCACCAAGCAGGACCTGCATGTGCACAATCAGCGGCGGCACCTGAAGAAGGAGCACATCTGCGAGATGTGCGGCAAGACCTTCGCCCAGAACACCCAGCTGAAGCGGCACCGAGAGGCGACGCACGAGAAGAAGCGGCGGTTCCAGTGCGAGCACTGCCAGAAGGCATACTATAAGAACTTCTCACTCCAGGAGCACATACGCAACGTGCACATGGGCAAGCGGCGGATGCTCAAGTGCCCCTTCTGCGGCATGCAGTGCCGTGATGCGCACAAAATGGCGCGGCATCGCAAGGAGATGCACCTGAACCAGGACACGTATGTGTGTCATCTGTGCCAGGAGGAGTTCACTGACATCAATTACTTCGACGCGCACAAACGCTCAATACAGTGCCGCAGCAATACCCGTCGACTCGTCAACCAGGCCGAGGGCCGAACCTCCAACGAAGACGGCGACACCATGGACGATTGCAATGAGCTGGCGGGCATGCTGGAGGAGGAATATGACGAGGATGCCGGTCTGCTCGTTGAGTCTACTGAGGCGAGCGTCGTTGATGGCGTCGACGGCATCATTGGCGAAGCAGTGGCCGATGAAGATCAGCCACGGGATGACGAACCCATTTACGAAACGGTCAACGGCAACTTCCTGCACGCCGAGGTGGAGGACCAGCCATATGCCCAGCAGTATGATCCAAGCAGCTACGACGACGATGGCTTACTGGTCGAGCAGGTGGCCGACGATGAAGATCACTCTGAGCAGATTCTCAACGATGACGAGGAGTACTTGGATCCAGCTCTCGATCATCAGACGCAGCAGCAGCATCAACAACAGGCTGGCCACGAGTACAACGAGGACGAGTTAATTTATGAAATCACGTTGGAGACTGAAGACAACTGAGCGAGCCTGAGCCTGCCAGCTAGACAGGCGGCCAGGCCCGTTCTCCTCTCTTCGCAGCGAGCCCGATCCTTGGGTAACAAATTGTAAATATAGATAAAAATAGACACATGCATACGTACATGTGCGTGTAAGTGTTTGTGTGTTTGTGTACTTTTAACAATTCCACAACTATGATTGTGTATTATGATCCAATAAAGCGCAATTGATTGCTAGATTTTTCAATATTTCAAACATATTTTATGTGGGGATATGAGCGAAAGACAATAAGCAAAGACAAATGCAACCCAGGGCACGCAGAGGTGTATTTATTGCAGCCATCAAATTTCAGGCTCGATTGTGATTGATAGTCGATTGTCGTAGCAGTTAGTGGCGATTCGGATAGTTCTCATATATGCTTTAGATTAATTATTTTAAATAAATATGTACGTAGCAAAGTGTATGTACATACATATACATATATGTATGTACAGACAGGCAATATGTAATGCATGGGGATGACATCACATTCATTAAAAATGTGGTATTTGGGCGTGCTCGAGTGAGCGAGACAGCATGTGTAGACAACTGTTCCCATTCTAATAGGTATCGAATGAATGGTCACCCTAATTGCGGCAACTGGCATCGAACGGACGTACGCGCCGAGCGCACAAAAAAAATTTTATTAAACTTGCGCAGTTTACATGAAAATTTATTGCATAAACTTTCCTAATCATATCAAAATGCCTGGCCCTGGGAAACAAATTGTTGGAAATAACAGTCACAATGACGTTACATGGCAACCATATCGATCAAGCTTTCCTCATAGAAGCCGGCCCAGGCAACAATTGAGGTTTAAAAACACTCGCTTGAAATTCAATTGAAATTTGGTTTTCCAACAGCAGCAGCAGCTAACTGCCGAAATTCGTTTCCCCTATACACACCTATACATATATATCGAACATGGATAACGAAGAGGATGTCGAGCAGGAAAACGCAAACACTGATGGAGATGCCGATGCGGATGTCGAAGACGAGCCGGAGTCGGAGCCGGAAATTGCTGAGCCCGTTGCGGTTGACAGCTGGGAATCTTTTCAAGCCCACATCGATGCGCTTGTAGTCAATAAGAAGTGCGACAAGCCGATCCGCGTTCTGGATGAGTGTAGGCAAAATATTGTAGAGGGCGTCCGCCAGAGGCAGCGGGAAATGCCAAAATCATTCGCTGAGCGCGCCATGACCCAGATGAGCAAAATCGATCAACAGCTGCATCTGTCAAGCACCCGCCTGGGCCAGCTAGTGCGCTTTGGGAATGAGTTGGTGACCAATATCCGTGTGGCGAACGAAAGGCGCGAGCTGAATCGTCGCTTATACGAGGCCTCGCAGCAGAAGGATATGAAGAGGATGTTGGATGGCGAGAATATCGAGGCGATGGCCAAGTTTGATAATATCAAAGCGCGCTGGACCGAGCTGAACGAGATCAACGAACCGATGCTGCTCTGGGACAAGATCGAGGAGCAAAAGAAGCGTATTGGCGCCATAATGGACCGCAAGGATCAGATGATAGCAGCCTGCCAGCAAGAGATCGAGCGCATGAACACCAAATACGAATTCGACAGGCAACGCCAGGCGGCGGACCTCTGCTGTCTGGTTGAGCGCATTGACAACCAAGTGGAGACACTGAAGGAGTCGTACAAACATCATTTGGAACTGTTGCGCAACACCATCGAGGACGAGCGCCAAGCCTTCTCGCTGACGGCCGACGAGAAGTGGCACTCCTTCTTCCACGCTCTGAACACCAACTTCGAGGAGAAGTCTAAGCTGGTGCGCGTACGCGAGCAGTTCTACACGCTGCAGCTGCAGCTGCTGCAGGACTCGCAGGACGAGCTAACTAAGCAGACGCGAGTGCGCCTCGAAAAGGAATGCGAACGCCTCGAGTTGGAGCTGCGACGCACGCGCGACAACGTGCTAATGAACTCCGAAAAACTGGACTACAACTACCAGGTGCTGCAGCGGCGCAACGACGAGAACACTATCATCACGAACCAGCAGAAGCGTCGTGTGGCGCGCCTTTACGAGACGGTGGCCCGCACCAGGCGCAACTTCAAGCAGATCTATCACAGCGGTCGGCGCACCATCATGAAGCTGACCACTGAGATCCAGCAGCTGCACGGCAGCATCAGCGATATGGAAGCGAAGGCCATGCACACACGCAACATTAACCGGGAGAAATTCAATCGTGTGTGGAACATCAACTACGATGAGATCACCGGCCTGCTGACGCGCATCTTTGAGATCGACCGCATACTGCACGAGCAGCAGCTGGTGATGCCGTGGAAGCGACCCAACATCCACATCGATAATATTAACAAGCCGATTGACAAACGCGGCTACAACGCCATGGATCGCGTAGAGCGTCGTTTTGGTAAGCTGCCCAAAAAGTACGGCGGCTCAGGCTTTGGGTCCGCCGGGAACGACAATAAGCGTCGCGGCCCCATGAAGGAGCTGCCGCCCGAGTCTGCGCGTCTCATGCGCAACATACTGCGCAAGCTGGCCGATCGCGGTGGCTTCCTGATCGAGGAGCGCTTGCTAAAGATACTTAGGCCCTATGCGGAGAGGGAGCAAACAATGGTGCGCATCGACAACATCTTTGCCGCGCTGCGTATTCGCAACTTGGATCACATTCTAGAGCTGACCAAGGTCTTTACGCCATACACGTATTGTCCCAACTGCCAGCCGGCAGGTCTTAGCCCCACGAAGTGTGCAGAGGTGTTTCTGAAGGATCAGAAGGAGTCGCGCTCGCTCAAGCTGGGCGACATAAACCTTCCGGATCAGGCTCTGCTGAGGGGTAGACACGATAACAAGTCATTTCTAGTCAAGAGCCATACCCGTTGCCAAAAGCATTATCTTGTCATGGAACCAGCGCTTGTGCTGCACGCCATGAATATATACACCAAGCAAAAACACAAGCAGATCTATGGCAGCTCATCGGAAAGCAGTCTGGAGACGGAGTTGATTGCATTCAGTGACCAGGAAATCCAATGCTTTTGGCGACAATTCACCAACATATTTCCCGATTCAAAGACCCATCTCTGGAAGACACTGGAGCACGGACTAAATCACTATGTCGAAGTGCTCAAGATGCGCGTCCAGTACGATGCCGAGGTGGTCTTCCTTCGTCGTCAGAACCGCGAATTGCGCCACCTACTACAGAAGTTCAAAGTCTAGTCTTACGAAATACATATGTACATGTGTCGACTATGTATTAACATAATTTAACTTTTTGCCAGAGCGGTTATAAAATTCAGTTGTATGAAAAATCGAAATTCATCTTTTTCTATCATTTGCTGCCAACTATGCCAAGTACAATGCATCCTTCCCCGAACAACGCAATCTATTCAAAAAGTTGATTTCGGTTCGAAATTCTCACAAAAAACAAGTAAGAAAACTCTAGCCGAGACTACTTGACTAGGAGATACCCTGAACCTTCGAATCTGATATTCTACTCACTCTACGCTTCTTTCAGGCACACATACATACACACGCACGTATTAGAACTGTTAACTGCGCAGTAAGCAGCGACGGCGCTTGGGCTGCGCTGCAGTGTCAATTTCTAGACGTACAATATTGATGAAATTTTCAGAGCGTAATCATATGGTCAAAATGTGTGTACATTCCAAGTCTCTAGTACTTGAAATACGTTCTTTACAAATTTGGGGAAAAGGGGGTGTGGTATCCAAAATCTGTTGATTACAAAAAGTTAGTACTTAACATATGTATATACACAGTAAATTTGAAGATTTATCGAAAAAATAAAACAAACTCGTTTCAGCTCTCTAGCTTTTGTATCTTCTGAGATCGACGCACTCACACAGACTGATCAAGAATATATATACTTTGTGGGGTCTGCGATTACTCCTTCTGCATGTTACATACTTTTACAAAACCATTATACCCTGATTTCCCATTATCAATGGGTTCAGGGTAAAAAAGTGGTGAAAAGCGCGGAATGCGTTGGGTTCTGACCCAATATCATGTTACTCGACTCATTTGCGACAGTAAAAAGGATCCTTTTAAGTCGGCTATTCAACTAAAAAGGACCTAAACATATCAGCAATAACCCAAAAAGTACGGAAATACTTAAAACTTCACGATATAAACACTCGTCGTTCAAGAAAAATACCATATTTTAATATAAAACATATTTCCAAACCGGTGGCGTTCGCAAAGGAACACGATAATTGGTCTGAGCAGGAGTAGAGAAACATACTTTGGACTGATGAAAATAAGGTGGTAGTGTTTGATGGAAAAGGATCGCGATCCTTCGTGGAACGTCCAAAGAACAGCGAAATTCAACCCTAGATGTACAACAAAAACCATTAAACATGGAAGATCAAGTGTAATGGTATGAGGTTGCTTTTAGTACTATGGTGTAGGCCCAATTCATTGGATCAAAACCATAATTAACCGACATCTTTATGTTGATGCTGGATACAAAATACCACTAAAATGGGTCTTCCAGCAAGACAATAACCCCTAATACACCAGAAAGAAGTCGAAGGAATGCTTGGTGAGGAATCCTGAGCTAGAATTCCCTATAAACGATGCCAGGACTTGGTTGAATCCATGCCTAAGCGCTGTGCAGCCTTAATTGCTAACAAAGGCAAAACATACAAGTACTAAACTTGAGGGAGTATATTTATTTTCATTTGTCATTGACTATAAGTTAAAGCTTTTTACCCATTTTAATTTTTTTGAAATCATTTTGTAGCACAAAATGAAAAAGTGGTGCTATTATTTTTTCGTCGTTTTTTCGACTTTTTTGAGAGTTTTTTGAAATACATACATACTGAATGGCTTTTAGAAAAGTATTTGAAGGGAGTAAGCAACACGAAGACAAAGGAATACTAACTGCTGCAATTAAATATGCTTGGGGCGAGATTCTACATAAGCTTATTGTATCACTCCATGAAGGACCGGGTGTATGAGGTTATTTCGAAGGAAAGGAGCAGGACCTTATTGAAATTATTTTTATATATTACTTATTGCTTAAATAATTATAAAAACTAAAAATAATACTTAAAATGACATTCCTTTCCTTAAAAAATATGAATTAGTTTAAGTGCGTCTATTTCAGTGACCGAGAAAAAATGTCTTTTTTTAACAGTTTTCATAAAATGAATAAAAAAAAAGATTTTTTTTTAATTAACATTTTTATGTTTTGTATATTTGAAGAGTCATAGAATAACAAACTTTCCAAATAAAAGTTATAAAGTTATATAAAGACCAGCAGTGTATATTGAAACGACAAATATTTGTGTGAAAATTTTTGCTTGTTGCAATTATGAATTGTTTTCCGCTTATATTAAGGCAAAAAGTATATAAATACATTGATAAATGAGCTAGGAGAAATTATTAAACTTTTCGTTTGCAAGTGGTGCTATTTTTTTTCCGCAGCTATACATACATATGTACAATGTGCTCCTGAATTGCCTGTTTGTGCATACATACATATGTATATATGCATATGTACATATGTGTATTAATATGCATGTATTAAACTGTTCTCTCAAATGTATGTACATATGTATGCAACTGTTCTCAGAATCACATGCATGCATGCAAGCATGTATGTATGTACATATGTACATTTACTAAATTCATAGTATTAGCATTAGCTATATGGGCCCATTGACAAAGTAATCATAAGATAGCTAAGTGGCCATCTTTTTCGATCGCATTGCTGGCTGTCATGCTTGTGAAGAGCATAGATTTGAGTACGGAAGCCGAGTAAAAACAAAAGTGCTTAGGATTAGGCTAGGTGCTCGATCGAAACTAATGAAAAAGAGGGAGAAAGGGAAGGCGATCTGTCAGTAAATGCTTCACTTGCATTGCTAGCTCGCTTCAGATCGTGCTGCCTGTCGGCGCACACGCAGCTGCATTGCAGGCAGACCTACATTAATGTGCTTGGGGGATTTGATGCACTACTTCAATGTCACCTCTACTCCAACTAATACACTGTACAACATAGAAAACTTGATATGTTTCAATTGAATTTCATTGTATATAGAAATTTAAGATATCTCAAGTCTTCTTTTTGACGCAGTATGACTCAAGTCTCGGGTAAATCATTCTTTCTCTTTGATTTCAGGTTTGCGTGATCAAACCATATAAAATTCGAATTGCTTACTCAATTGACTCTATATGATTCGAATCTAAGTAACATCTCTTTTTGTTTTTGTTCCTTTAATTTTGTATGATATATATACTATTTATAATATTAGTAGTATAATGGTATATACATTTATAATAAAATAAAATAAAATATTTTCTACATATATAAATCCGAATGCACTTTTTTCTAGACTTTGAACTGACTTCTATGACCGTACTCTTCAAATATACATAGCTTTTATACATAATAAAAAAAAATTATATTTTTACTAGCTTTACGCTTCTATATACGATCTTAGAAGTCTATCTACTTTGCTTAGGCTCCGCCCTTACTTAACTATTTTCCAATTGATTGTGAAAAATCAAGAATTACATTTTTAATTCGAATTATGTAAAAGACATAAAAGCTTGATCAAGTCATTTAGCCTAATGTCGAGGTCAACAAATACCTTCCGATCGCAATGTACAAACTATTGATACAAGACCATGACTAATTGCCTAATGACTACACTCACACATCTGTGTGGATGTGGTTGAAAATGTACATACACATGTATGTATGTATTTACATACATTTGTATGTCGATATTATCCATGTTCAAAGTTCTGTTGCATAGTGTTATCTGCGACCGTGAGCCGTGCACATGTCGATAAAGTTCTGTTTAGTTGGAGGAGCTGGAGTGGGGCGGGGAAGCCGTCAACTGAAGACCTGTATTACCAATATTATTTATATGTACAAATACAATGTATGTATTCTCGCAGTACTTCATGAGGGCGTATACTGATTGGCGGCCAGGTACGACTGCTCGGCCCAGGTATTCCGGAGTGGTTCAAAGTGCGCGGCAACGAGCAAATGTTTAAAGTGCAAACGGAATCAAACTACAACAACAGTTGCATTTCGAGTCCGGCTCTTTGTTGTTGTTGTTTGGGTCTTAGCTTTTGTTTGGCTGCTCCGATGGGAGCACTACGATAAAAATTAAATAATAATATAATAGAAAAAGAAGCGGCAGCCGGAGCCGACACGACGCTTGTGCCCAAGTACAAGCGGCAACAGGTTGTATTTTGCTGTTGTTGCCTCTGCATTTATTGTAGTCGAACCAGTTAAACGTAATCTTATCAGGCCTGAAGACATAACGTAATAGGAAGCGACGCTCGACGGGTCGAGCAGCTCGGTGGCCAAGCCACTTGGTAAACATGCGACAGCCTGAACAGCAGTTCGTGCGTGAGCTGGAGCCGGATGACAGATACGACTCCTGCCTGACCGAAGATGTTCAGCTGTTCGGGCAACTCGATGACCTGGATGCCAGCCGCGAGCTGCTGCTGGTGCCCTCAGCAGCCGAACTGGACCTTCTGCAGCTGGTTAGTGGAGCTAACGGTGCTGCATTGCAACCGACGCCCACACGCGGCGACTCTTTGCAGTCGCCGCCGCAGCCGATTAAGCCAAAGTCGAAACGTGCCACGCCCACCAAACGACAAGCGAACAACATTTGTGATCTGTGCGGGCGCAGCTTCAGCGATGCGTACGGCCTACGCATCCACCGAATGACGCATACGGACGAGCGGCCACACGTCTGTGAGGTGTGCGGCAAGGGATTCCGGCAGCTGAACAAGTTGCGCATTCATTCCGTCACGCACACGGACAAGCGGCCGTACGAGTGCGATATTTGCGGCAAGGGATTTCGCTTCGCCAACTATTTGGCAGTGCATCGGCGACTGCACACGGGCGAAAAGCCCTACAGCTGCAGCGAGCCCAGCTGCGGCATGTCCTTTCACTCCATACATGCCCGACGCATGCACATGAAGCTGCACCATGCCAGTAGCAGCAGCGGCAGCAACACTATGGAGACAGATAATCAGAATGAGGATTGTGATCAAGTTGATTCGACAGCATCGCTCAGCTTCACCTGTCCCATTTGCGGACGCGTCTTAACGGACCAATGCTATTTGAATACGCATTTGAAGCGACACTATAACCAGCGCGATTTCGCCTGCCTGCACCCGGGCTGTGGCAAACGTTTTTTTAGCTCCTCCGAGCTAAACCATCATCAGATTGCGCACACGCGACTTCGTCCATTTCGATGCACGCTGTGCGGCTCGTGCTTTCTGCGCAAATCGAATTACAAACAACATTTGAAGATTCACTGCGATTGAATATGTTTTAAAATATATGTAAGATTTATTTAAATATACGATTTATACATAGAATTATTTTCGTTTGAATGGTTTCGGTTTTGTTTGCATTTGTTCTGTTTTAAATATATGTATGTATTTATTTACTTTCTTGCAAGTATGTATATTATGTATATGTATATATGTATGTATATTTATTTGTTTTTAATATGTATGTATTGGTAATTGGTTGCTTTGCCTTTTTGCATTTGCGCATATTGATTACTCAGTTTCTCAGTTTTTCAGTTACAGTTTCAGCGTCAGTTGACTTATTTTTTGTTTTCTATTACTTCTCATATGTTGTCTTTGTTGATCTTAAATATAACATTTGTTTTAGCAAAAATATGCACATACATAAATTTACATATGTATGTATAAGCATGTTTGCATGCATCAATTTATGTTTGTAGCGAACTTCTTTCTAGGTCTGGGCACACTGACACTATCAGCGCTCGCTCTCCCTCTCCCCACTCTTTCACAAGTGTCAGTGTCCAGGTTTAGACAAACAAAAAAAAAAAAAAAAAAAAAAAAAAAAAAAAAAAAACAACAACAAATTCTAATGTAACCAGCTTACAGTAACAACAAAATGCACCCTTAATTCGAAAAAGATTTTTGCTTAATTTGCATTTTTGTACTGCAGCCAACATGGCCACATTAACACAATTGTGATTTACGATTGCATTTGAAATGAAAATGAAAAAAGCAGTTTCGCAAACAGAAACAAAACCGAATTTTAAAAGTTAACTTAAATACAAATTTAGGTTCTATGACATTTGCGACATGAACACAGAGCAAGAAGTTTAACCTAACATTCCAAGCATACATACAGAAACAAAATCCAGTTTAAAGATACATTTCAACTCTTTTTTACAATTGCTTATCGTATTAGAACTGAATATACATATGTATGTATTTATGAATTGAATTTGTTTTTTTTCTGGCTATGCACACATTTTACTGAATTTTTTTTCTTGCTTCCTTTTTTTTTGTTACTAAAACGAAAAAACGCGTTTCTTGCGTTTTTGCTAAATTTGTGTTAATTGAAGAATTAAACACACACATATGTATGTATAAGCGAATATCGATTCGTTAGAATAACATTCAAAATGGCATATTTTAATTCTCTTTATATAAGTTTTATATATATATGTATATCTGTATCTGTATCTGTGTGTAAGCTTTAAGCTTGAAAATCCCAGTTTCCGCTGTTGTTTCACTTGCTTTGCCCAATCTTAGAAAAACGTTTCCCAAATCACCGTTTTGTTTTTGTTCTTTCAAAAAGAATTTGAACCTCTCGCTTTGTCGGCGATGCACGTTTACCAACACTGTTAAACAGGATCATATAATTTTTGTGTTTTCTTTTTTTACCTTTATCGCTTTCTTCACTATGTCTAGAAACTGTGTATAAAATGTGATTTCTCGTTTAAAACTTAGAGTCGCTCATTCTTATCGAATAATGTTGCTTACACGTCTCATCGTCTATTCTCATCTCATTCCACTTTGCCTATTCCTACACACTAGAACACTAAGCTCGAACCAAAAAAAAAAAAAAAAAAAAAAAAAAAAAAAAATGATCTGAATAGTTGTATATGTAGATAGAATACAAAAGATATCTTTTAACTGCATGAGCTACATATTATATATTGAAAATGTGGGTTTGTACTCTGTTCCCAGAGAGGAATAACTATCAAATATTGGCGCCTGTCGACGCTACTATTTTTAGATATACATATGTATGTATGTTCAGTTAAGGTACATGTACTACAATTTTGAATTCTGAAGAAAAAATTTCGTGGTTTTTCAGTGCAGCTAGATGCTAAGTATAGAAATAGGTAAAGATTTAGATTTGGCAATGTCAATTTTCCAGATGCCGGGAACAGAGTATCGGCAGTCGGTAGCTACCGACTGCTTTTTTACTTTTTGTGTCTCCTTTAAAAATCAATTGTCGTTCTCACTTCTTGTGTTAGAAATGCTGTTTTTTTTAAATATTAAAAAAATTATATATATATATATATA